TGGAAAGAACCCGCCAAATAGGGCAAACAATTATACAGAGGAGAATAAGAGGTATACAATAGCAGTCTTTCAGTTACTCTTTTGTGTTCAGCAGCAGAATATTTTCACCAGCACACCCTACAAATGGACTTCTCTTCCACCCTATGAGTCATGATTCTACCTGAGACTACAGGGTGGATTTCAAAGAAATAGCTGTAGCTCAGTTCCACAAGTGATGCCTAGCCACCAGTAACTGTCACAGTCATTATGCATGTCCACAACACACTAGAACTTTGTGCGATATCCTGTCCTCAAATTGTTAGAAGTGCTGGTCATTTACTTGCCATTCCAGTATTTCTCTTATGTTTTACTCTTAGTACTTCTTTACTATCATGAAAACTTTTTCTTAGTTCAATTGTTTTGAAACATTTAATTTTCAGAGTGTTGCTTAATCTTAATTTTTGTTCTAAGATTTATGCTATATCTTTGACTTACAATTTATTTAAAAGACATTGTATGATATCTTCTCCTAGTATTAGAAACTTTAAAAAGTATATTTCCATTTTCTGCTGACTTTAAAAAAAAATAGAGGTTTGTACCTATGTTGTTTATTTATTATTTCTTGCCTATATCTTGTAATAGGAGAAACTACTTTTGGCAGTAACAATACACAATGTACTAACCATTGTTACTCTCCTAAAATCTTGTTTTGAGATTTTGTACCATTGTTTTTATTTTTTTTCTTTAAAATAAAAATAACTGATGTCAAAAAAAAACACAAATGTGACAGGATAAAACCCATTATTGGTATATTGGTATAATTAATACACACTAGTAAAAATCTTTATAGATGAAGATATGTTCTGAATAGTGGTTACAGAATAAATGTATATGAATATATCCTACTAATAAAACAATAAACCCAGCATAAAATGAACACTTACTAAGCATTTCATTGCCATGAAACATAGATATTAAAAGTGTTCCATCTCTTTTATTTGGAAAATACAAAGTTGTTATAATATGTACAAAGCTTTTCATACCTTAACTACCCTGATAAGCAATTTCATACATTATCTTATTTAATACTTTAGACAGCATCCTTTGAGTAAGAACTATTAGCTTTCTCATTTATGAATAGGCAAAGTAATACCAAAAATTCCAATTGTTTTGTAAGTTCACAAAAATATTAGTTCTCAAAATTAAGGCACTGTGCCTGACATTTATAATATTCTTTTAAAAAGTGAATAAAAATAAAAAAACATTAGAAACGATACAGAATTTTACTAGAGATGATGATAGGAATTCAACAATGATTGTTGTACTCTACAATATTTTCTATGATTAAAAGAATTGGATTATCATTTTTGTCTTACAGATTGAAAATTTTTATAATTATTCTTCTTTTATGTATCTAGTAGAGGGTCTACAGGGTCTCACTTTGCCAGGGATCGAACCCTGGTCCCCTGTGTCTGCCTAAGCAGGTGTTTTAATTTGCTGAGCTATCTGGCTGGCCCTTAGATTGAAATTATTTTATTTATAATAGCTCTTTTCATACAGGATGCAGTGAAAGGGTTTGCTTTTTTTTTTTTCCAAGGGATTGAACTCAGACCCTTGCGCTTGCCAGGAAAACATTTATTGTACTGCGCCATCTCCCTGGCCCCTAAGGGTTTGCTTTTATCTGTAAGAACAAAATGGTGATTTATTAAAATGAGCTCCTGTATATGTAATCCAAATACTTATACGTATGTGAATAAATGTACGAGAATGTGTTATAACATTGTAATTAAGGACATGAATGGGTTGCAACATAATTTTGTAATCAACAGTCAATTTTTAAATTATATGTCTTTTTCCTTGGCAATTATTATGAAAAGATCAGTTCTGTCTAGACAATTTGATATGCAGAGTTATCCATTATACATCATTAACTGAAAAAACAAACAGGAAAGTTGCAAAATATTTTGTGTAGTGAGGTAACATTCATGTGTAAAGAAAAGTTCTTACTGATTCTGTAAATATGAAAATAAACAGAAAGCAAATACCTGGTAGAATGTACTAGAAATGTTTTCACATTGAATAATTTGAAAAATTGGATGAAAACAGAAGCCAAGAAAGAAATATCAGGACCACTCCTTAAAGCATGATTTAATGTGACCCTGGCTTCTCTTTACATAAATCATATACTCCATTCATTTTAAAACTAAAATGTTAGGTTACATTATTCTTATTTTGACTTTGTTTTTTGTTTAGTCTGTCTTGTTTCCAGTTTGATGTGGTTTGGCTTGGCTTATCTTAGTTTGGTTTTTGGTACTAGTGATTAACCCAGGGTCTTCACACTGAGCTATATCTAAAGTCCTTTTTAATTTTATTTTTTTTTAACTTTGGCACATGTCTCAATAAATTGAAAGTTTTCCAGGTTGAATTCAAATTTGTAATCTTTTTGCCTCATCCCCTCTGAGTCTGGGATTGCAAGTGTGGAACAGTTTAATCTTCTGTATTTTAGATATTAATTTTGTTTTTTATCTTTCATTCTGCTCTGTGTGGCAGACATGTATAAGTGAATAAAATGTGGGTATGACCCTGAAACAATGGTCAACTGCAGAGTAGATAGGCCTAGAATTCAACCAAGACCTCCCCCCAAGGAATTGAAAATATAGTGTCTCCTGAGTATAGACAGATTGCAGATGTATATTATGAAAATTAGGCACAGCCAAAGGGAAACCAGGCTGGTTGTATCTGCTGATTGTTACAATTTTACACTTTTACTTTTACCTTACTAGACAGCTTGGTTTTCCAGAAAGATACATCATGACCTCACCACATCTCTTGAATTTATCTCTGCTTTTATTTTTTCTTTCCTCAGTCTAGTGTGTTAGAGATTTATACAGTGACAAAAGGTAAAGTTGTATTATCTTTGTATACCATTCAATTCTTTATCTTATCTAGAGAGCACTGAGATATTTTATCTTACAGTAAGGTAAAACAGTATACCCTGGAAAGTAACTTATTGAGCTCTAAAGGTTTGTAGTAGTAGGCTTTGAAGTTCAAATCAGAGGAATGGTTTTCTTTTCATGAAAAGATAAAAGGTAGAAGAGAGAGATTTATTTTTATACAAAGGCAAGCTTGCTAGAAATATTCCTTTATAATGTATTTTCTCTACATGAGATTTTATTTAAAAATACATGACAAAAGTCTCCCAAAGAATATTATAAATACAATGAATTTTATATTTCATAAAAATCAAGAAAATTGAGGATTATACTTGATTGGTACCATAAGACATATCAATATATATTTCCATAAGAGTAAATAAATGTATTTTGTATATTAATTGAAATTTTTTTAGAAAAAGCTACAGATAGACCAATCACCATCTCAATATCTGACTACTACTTATTTTACTTTTTAAAAATAATTTTATTGAGGAAGAAGTAGCAATGAGACAGTTTCAAAACAGGTTAGTAGGACAGTTACAATAATTAATGCATTGCATATAGTCTTTGTAGTAGTTATTCATAGTACAAGATGCACACAAGATATCATGTCTAAACACTTAGTTCAAAACTCTCTTCTCATTTAACTAAGAAAAAGTGGTACATCTAGGCTATTTTGTATACACAGATAGAAGTATATATTTTTCACTACAAAATGGTCCTTCATTTATATCCCCCTTCTTTGTTTTTGTCAGAGATGTGTATTCATTGTCATTCATATAGTGTAAGTGCATGAATTCAGCAAAGTAATCCAATACAATTCAGTAGTCTCTAATATTAGTAGGTTATTCGCATGACTGGCAATGTCAGAAGTTGTTGACTTAAGCCTTTTACAGCTCAGCATATTGACATATTTTGATCATTGTTTAATTGTCTCTGCCTTTTAATCTGGCAGTTTTTGAGCTATATTGCCAAAAATAATTATATATCAAAGAAACAAAATTCTGACTTTAAGAAAAATAACAAGAAACAATGCACAATATCTGCTTTAATATTTATCACTTACTGTATTGTCTAGTTTATTCCATAAGAAGTAATACTAGAATTTAATTGAGAACTTATATCACAGACATAATACTGAAAGCTAAGGACAAAGAGAAAACAAGAGAGTAAAACACATACATGTCATATGCTACAGTTTCTGTAAAGTAAATCATATCATATAGTTTATTTATTTTGATAATTTGGGAAAATAATAAATTTGGGCATCAAAAAACTTCTTTTATGAATTCCTTCTTCTTTTGGGGAAAATACTTAGCTAAAGACAAATAAAAGCAGTTGTTCATTAATGGATACAAAAATGAATCAGTATGTTAAAGAATTATATTATTTAATGCTGGTCCTATGACTATAATTTTCCTGCCCTTTCTTTCCCATAAATTAATGTTATTCATTTTATAACCAAGTTAATTTCAGGTCCATATTTCTGGGGTTGCAATGACACTTATTTTCATAATCATATTCTAAAATACATAGTTCAGTAGAATAAGTGCTTGCCTGGTAAGTGCAAGGGCCTGAGTTCAATCCCTGGTTCTGAAAAAAAAAATTAAAAAGAAAAAAAAAGATAACCATTATTAAACTTTGTATTTGTGGTTATATTATCAATTTCCACAAATAAATTTTGTAAGTATGTAATTGACATCACAAGTAAAACTAAAAATAAATAGTTGCATTCCTAAAAGAATAAAATGTTAGAAAGTGGTGATCAAATTGTAGATATAGTTAATATTATTGTAGAAATTTCTAATCCAAAGATATATTTCATGAGTAGAAAATCTGACTGTATGTAGGTTTGATGTTTATTTATAAGAGGGCTTTAGATATAAATCTCTGAATAAAAGATTCCCCTTCAATTTATGCATGTATATTTTCTACTTTAATAAGAATGAATGAATATAACACAATTCTTGCAGAGATAAAGGTCCAGTGCTTTATTTCATTGGTAATAATTCACACAGTATTATCTTCTCAATTCCTTCACATTAAACTTTTTCATTTTGTTTTATTTTACAGCGATAGATATTTTTAGACACAAAAATGAGTATGAGAAATCACACAATGATTACAGAGTTTGTTCTCTTGGGTATATCAGACAATCCAAAAACTCAGGTGGCAATTTTTACTTTTTTGTTTATAGCTTACATATTAAGTATCACTGGAAACCTAGCCATCATCATTCTAACCTTATTAGATTCACAGTTAAAGACTCCTATGTACTTCTTCCTCCGAAATTTCTCCCTCTTGGAAATCACATTCACCAGTGTTTCTATCCCAAGATTTTTGTGTTCAATAATCACTAAAGTCAAGACCATTTCCTATAACAACTGTTTAGCTCAATTATTTTTCTTCATTGCCTTGGGTGTGTCTGAATTTTTCCTTCTAACTGCCATGTCCTATGATCGCTATGTGGCCATCTGTAAACCTCTGCACTACACCACCATCATGAGTAAGAAAATCTGTAACCTTCTGGTCTTCATTTCTTGCCTGGCAGGATTCCTAACCATTTTCCCACTACTCATGCTCATCCTCAAGTTGGATTTCTGTGCTTCCAATATCATTGACCACTTCTCTTGTGACTACTTCCCCATCTTACAACTCTCATGCTCAGATACGTGGTTTTTAGAGACAATTGGTTTTTACTTTGCCTTTGTCACTCTGCTCTTCACATTGGCATTGGTGATTCTTTCCTACATGTGCATCCTCATCACCATTCTGAGATGCCCTTCTGCAAGTCAGAGGAAAAAGGCTTTCTCTACCTGCTCCTCTCACATGATTGTGATCTCCATCTCTTATGGAAGCTGCATATTCATGTATGTCAAGCCTTCAGCAAATGAAAGAGCATCACTGACCAAAGGAGTAGCTGTTCTCAATACTTCAATTGCTCCCATGTTGAACCCTTTTATTTACACTTTGAGGAACCAGCAAGTAAAACAAGCATTCAAAAATTTTCTTCATAAAGTATTATCTTATAAAAATAAATGAAAGTTATTATTATCAAGAATGACTGTAATTGTGAAAATCAATAATGGAATAAAGGGATTGACTTTTGCACTACTTTCTGTTATCTATCGCATGACTATCTCCATTGCTGACCTCACTGGGTGCAGCTTTCTTTCTCATTTGCAAGTGATTCAATGTGTCTTCCTTGAAAACTATTTACAGGATGTATGTAATCATTCATTTCAATTATGAATGGATAATCACTAGAACATAAATCACTCTACTAGTATTAATATTTAAAAATAGCTTATTGTAGAGACATATAGGAGTAAACACCATTTTATTAGGCTGATTCAAATTTTCTTTTTTCTGCTACAATTTCCTTTTAATCACATGTGAAAACACTGTATTGTCTTCCTAGCGTAAGATCCTGAAAGAGTAAATAAAATCTGAGAGTTACAATAGATACCATGAAAAGGAAATGAATCTGCTCAAAGGGAAGGGGTTACTGAGATGAGAAGGACAGGAGTAGGAGGGAGAAGGGGAAAAAGATATATCTATGTATGTATGTATGTATGTATGTATGCAGGCTGGTTAGATAATTGTACTGTTGATTTCTGCTATTCTATGGAAAAGAGTAGTTAATACTTAAATTTTTTTCTCTTAATTTCTTATACCTTTTTTTCTAATTTTGCATGCAAATATCTGGTAATCTAAGCAACTAATTTGAAGACAACACTATAAAACGCAGGACTGATGAGATAGCTCAGCAGATTAAGCACCTTCCTAAGCAAGTACAGGGACAGGGGTTTGATCCCCAGCCCCATAATCCATGCTAGCCCTGCCACTGGGTACTCAGAGCCATCCACCAAGTACTAGCATGGTGGTGCATGTCTGTAATTCCAGTGCTGGAGAGGCTGAAAACAGAAGGATCACTACCAGTCCAAGCTGTGGAATGAGACCTTGTACCAAATACATTAAAAAAAAAAAACTACTATACAACAAATACTGTCAAATTCACATTATTTTGTTTGGTGAAAAAAAGATAGGTGAAATATAAGGTATATTAAATACATATAAAATGCATTTCTTTCATACTATCTGCATGGAATATTTTCTTTCCAGTTCTTTCCAGTCATATGATGAACTTAGATATTTTTTCCTTCTACTAAAAAGTGCTTAGAAGTTTGACAGCACATTTTGCAATTATTTTATGTATTCTACTTCTTTCATCTGTAAGATGAACAATTATCTTTCTACCTATGAGAAGGCCATTACTTTTTTCTGTCAACCAAGCAAACTTTCTAAAAACAAATATTTCACATGTTGCCATTACCAAAAACATAAATATTCTCAGACCACAATGTATCTGTCTCTAGAAGAATGCACTTTTATTCCTTTGAGTGCCTTTTGAAAATTCTGCCTAATAAATCCTTTTATGTCTCTTACAAAATACATCCTAAGTTGTTTGTCTCTATGATGCAAGTCAGAGAACTGAACTTACATATGGGTGGAATCAGTCCAGTTTCCCTAGTTCCCGTTGGGGATTGCCTTGGACCCTGTCTAAGGAACCTGGAATAGAAGAAGTTAAGATTGGTAGAAAACATGAGAAACACCCAGTTAAAGAACAGCCTTGGAGAAAAAGCAAAACTTACCAGCCTTAAAAAGCTGGGTGTCTTCTAGTTTATAAACACAGAGGTTACGAGAAGCCTTTTAACCCTAAGGTTCAGGTCTCTCCCCCAGTTCCTCATTAGCTGACTACTAGAGTGAATAATCTTCCCAGAAATCACCCAAATCACCTTCATCTCCCTTATCTGTCCCAAATTTCCTCACTCAGCTAATGTCTATATTTTTCTGCAGAGTCTTTGTTGTTGATGCTATCTTTTCTTTCATTTTTATGAGGACATATTTTCAGTACATAATGCTTATAGTCAGTGTAGGGAAGTAGTGAATCTACATAACACATCTCATTTCACTTTTCCCCTCCCTCCACTTCCCATTTCTTCTTCCAGCATCAGATTCATGTATTTATCTTGTAAGGCTTATAAATTTAATTAGAATACTTACAGACTAAAAGTCAGACTAATAGGTCAAAGAACATATGAAACATATAAGACAGTTGTACTAAGTTATGGTATACTTTTAGATACATTATCTTGCACTGAATTACAATATCTTTTTTCACTTTGCCATATAAATCTCCCTCTTCCATCTGGGAAAAGAGAGACACTTATGTAAGAGAAATTATGTGATATTTAAGTTTGTATGCCTGAATTATCTCTTGAAACATTATGGACTCAAGGTGCATTCATTCTGGTACAAGTGAATCAAATTTATCCTAATTTATGGTAGAGTAGTACTCCATCATGTATCAGTAGCACTATTTGCATCCATTTTTCTATTAATTGACATAAAGGCTGTTTCCAAGGTTTAGCCATTATGAATTTTACTTTTATAGATATGGGTTGGCACACATCAATGTGCTATAAAGTTTTTAACTCTTTAGGGAAAATTCTTAGAATAGTTGGGTAAGAAGGAATTTCTACTTTATTTTTTGAGGAATCTCCATAATGTTTTCCACAGTGATTGTGTCAGTTTACAATTTCACCAACATTGGATGATTATTTCCTCCATAAACACCTCACCAAAACTTAAGTGATTTATTGAAGGTAGCCATTTTTTCTGGGATGAGATGGAATTTCAGTGTTATTTTAATTTGCATTTCTCAAACTGTCAAAGATATTGAGCATTTTTCATGTGTTAATTGGAAGTTTGTTATTTCTTCATCTGAGAACTGTCTATTCATCTTGGATGCAAACATGTAATTGAGTCTTTAAATTTGAGAAGTCTTTTTTTAACTTACTTACATATTCTATATATTATTCCTTTATCTGAGGCATAGCTAGCAATTTTTTTCCATTCTGTAGGTTGTCTTTTCTCTCTTAGCTGTTTCTTTTGCTGAACAAAAGCTTTTTAATTTGATATGATCTCATTTATTGATTCTTCATATTAATTCTTATACAAATGGGATTTTGTTCAGGAAGTCTTAGGCTACATCTATGTCTTCAAAAGTTTTTATATTTTGTCTTCTAGCATATAGTTTCTGTTTTAAATTTTACATTTTTTTAATCGATGTTGATTTTGGTTTAGTGCATGGTTAGACATGTGGGTCTAAGTAAAAGCATTTGAATGTGAATAGCTGACAATTACAGCACTATTTGTGATAGTTTCCATCAAAGGTATTTGACTTTTTTGTCAAAAAATAACATTACTGAGGACCGATGAGACAGCTCAGTGGACTAAGTGCCAGCTTTGGCAAGCACAGGGACCAGGGTCTGATCCCCAGTCCAGCATGTCGTGCTGGCTCCAGTGACCGAGTATGGCATAGTGGCACACACCTGTAATCCCAGTGCTAGGGAGGCTCAAAACAGGAGGATCACTAGCAATCCTAGTTGCATAGTGAGGCCCTGTACCAAATACATAAAAGAAAAAAAAAGAAAGAAAAGAAAAATGACATAGCTGGTAGTACCTGAAGTTGCTTTTTTATCTTCTACTCTGTTTCATTGATCCACAAGTCTGGTGGGGTGTTTGGTTTTTTGTTGCCTTTTTTTTTTTTTTTTTTTTTGCAGGGGGAGGGTGCCTCTCCCAGTCTGTTTCTATCACTGTATCTTTGTAATATAACTAAATGTCTAGAATTGTGATACCCCTGATTTGTCTTTGCTTCCCAGAATTGTTTTTGCTGTTAGGTCTCTTATAGTTCCATATAAATTGTAGGATTGTTTTATCCACTTCTATGAGGAATTTAACTGATATTTTAAATTTAGATTGCACTAAATCTGAACAATAGTTTGGGGAGTATGTTTATTTTGAATAGATTTGTTCTGCCTATTTAGGAACAGGCTATATCTTTTCATTTTCTGACATCTTTTTCAATCTCCTTTTTCAGAGTATTAGAGTTCTACTGTACAGGTCTTTAATTTCCTTGATTAGGATAATTCCCAGTATTTTATTTTGCTTCTTACAATTGTGAAAATATTGTTTCCCTAATTTCTTGCTCGGTGAGTGTGCTATTAATGCACATGAACACTATTGAATTTTTGAGTGTTTAATTTGTATTCTGCTATGCTGCTTAATTTGGATATTAGTTCTAGGCATCTTTTGGTGGAGTATTTGGAGTCTTCTATGTAGAAAAACATGTGATTATCACAAATAATTTAAATTGTCCTTCCCTTTATATATCCCTTTTATTTTTTCTATTGTATTATTTCTCCAGCTGGTGTTTCAAGACCTGTATTAAATAAAAGTGAAGGCAGACTTACTCATCATTTTTATTGTTTTATTATTATTTTTAAAAATTTTTTGTATTTAGTATAAGGCCTCACTACGGAGCTCAAACTTGTAGTGATCCTCCTGTTTCAACCTCCCCAGTGCTGAGATTACAGGTTTGTGCCACATGCCCAGTTTTGGTGGCCAGCTTGGTGTGCTTGGGGCAGAGCCTGCACAGCATGTGGTACCAGAGACCAAACCCAGGTTCTTGTGCTTGGCTCTGCAGGTGCTTAGACTGCTGAGCTATCTTTGCAGCCTATTATTGTATTTTTTGAGAATATAAAATGTTAAAAAAAATTAAAGAAAACATTAGGAACACTACAACATTTCATTAACAAAGGAATAGGAATTCACTGTATTTCATAGTGTTATCTTAGAATTAATTGTTTAGGTTACCTGATACAAAGCTGCAGGATGAGTAAGATAGTTATAAGAAATTAAAAAGAAAAAAAAACAAAATAAAATAATTTCAGCATTAATTGTTACTTTCAATAGACCAGCAGAAATCAGCAGTACAATTATCCAAAGTACCCCTCATATATTCATAAATAAATCTTTTTCTTTTCTTTCTTTTGCCCTTTTTCTCATCCCAGTTTTTCCTTTCCACTGAACAGATTCTTTCCCTTTCACAGAATCTATTGTACCTATCAGATTTTATTTAGTCTTTCAAGTCTCACACGAGCGAAAAAATATGATGGTTTCACATGTGGATCTGA